TAAACAATAGAATGGACAGTTAGAGAAATGAAAGTAGATAGACAATAAGAGCAAAGGGAATCAGAACTATTCAAAGAAGGATAAAGGAGATCCGCCTCAAGATGGCAATAATAGCTTTTCGCTTTGTGGCAAGTGCCAAAAGAACGATCTGAGAGCTTGTCTTTTGGGAACGAATGTATGTTTCTAGTGTGAAGAACACAGACACATGACTATGTTTTGGCCTAAGAACAAACAGTTAGGGAATACACAATAGAAACAAGGGAATACATAGTAAAAATAGGAAAATGTACAAAAGAGGTATAGATATGCACCAAGGGGCTGTCGACAATGAATGATCTTTGCATTGACAAGGCTGGAGAAGGATCAGAATTGAAATGTTTTGGCAAGTAACGTCCTAATATTCGATTTACTAGCCTATGTATGGATAGATTCAAGCACAACCCATTCTTTATATCCCTTAAGTTCGTACATAAATTAGGTGTGATTTTTGAATTTGCACGTTTTTCCTTATATCTATCCCTATGGGAATATGTTGAACATTGATCACATAGTTAAAATGGCAAGGATAGAAATTGATGGAAGATAATTGGAGATGGAATTGTATGTGATAACCATGAACGAATTTGTTGTGATTCTTAGGATGGACCTTGCTATCCAAGGACCACGCGAAAATTCATTGCTTTGAAAAAGAAGTGGACTTCCCTTAACCAGGAGAAGGGCAAATTCGATTATCTATAACTAAAAATGGACCCAAACCCTACGTCATTTCTAAGTTGAAAACACAACGAATCTTACAATCAGAAGATAATGTAGGATTCCTAATGTCCATGATGAGAAGGGAAGAAAACAATGAATTGGCAATTAATAATGTTAGGGTGGTACGAGAATATTTGGAAGTTTTTCCTGAAGAATTATCTGGCATGCCACCAGAATGGAAGGTAGAGTTCACTATCGATCTCATTCCCGATTTTGTACCTATCTCTAAGGCTCCTTATAGGATGATGACGAAAGAACTGCAGGAACTAAAGGAGCATATTGAAGCATTGTTAGAAAAAGGGTTAATTTGGCCGGTGTTTCTCCATAGGGAGCCCTAATGTGCTATTTGTTAAGAAGAAGGATGGCTCAATGAGAATGTACATTGATTATAGGGAATTGAACAAAATCACTATCAATAATAAATATCCTCTCCTTAGAATCGAGGATTGGTTTCACCAAATTCGAGGAGTAATGTTATTTTTCCAAGATTGACTTAAGGTCGGTTACGATCAATTAAGAATCAAGGCGAGTGACATCCCAAAAAGTAGCCTTTAGAACTTGGTATGGCCACTACGAGTTCTTATGCCATTTGGCCTAACTAAAGCTCCTAAAGTCTCTATGGATTTGATAAACTGGGTCTTCCACGAGTACCTTGATCGATTTGTTATCGTGGTCATCAATGACATTCTTATCTACTCAAGAAGTAATGTGAATTTTGGTCGGAAGGGGTAGCACTTATTGGACATGTCGTCATAACCCAAGGCATAAATGTTGATCTAGGCAAGGTGAATGCAGTTCTAAACTGGTCGAGACCAACCAATGTAGGTAATTTGCAGCTTTTTGGGCTTAGTGAAACTCCATAGGAGGTTCATTTAAGGACTTTCATAGATAGCTGAACCATTGACACAATTAACTCATAAGGGTGTAAAGTTTGATAGGACCGAAAAATGTGAACGGATTTTTGAAGAGTTAAAGCAGAGGTTAGGTAATGCGCCGATGTTAACTATACTTGAAGGATTAAGGGATTTTGTAATTTATAGTGATGCCTCTGACTAGGGCATATGATGTGTCTTGATGCAGCACGGTAAAGTGGGCTTACATATCAAGGCAATTGAAGCTACATGAGCAAAACTACCCCCCACGAACAACTTAGAACTTGTTGCAGTAATCCAAGCACTAAAAACTTAGGCACTACTGTTATGGAGGTAAATGTGACATATCACGAGAGTCTCAATTACATTATAACTCAAAAGGAGTTCAACATGAGACACAAGAGATGGCTTGAGTTGGTAAAAGACTATGATTGCAAAATTTAATATCATCTATGAAAGGTGTTGTAGCAGACACCTTGATTTGTAAAGTGACAAATCAAGTGGTAGCTTTGACCATACAAGAGCTATTATGGAAGGAGTTCGATAGATTAAGTCTTGAAGTGGTCACAACACCTCCAAATGCTGTTCTCGATTGGCAGCACACTTCGTGACAGGATGAAGGACCATTAGAAAGCCAATTGGTCATTTGAATTTGTTAAGTCAAAGATTGATACAGAGAAGCAAAAAGATTTCACCATGGATCCCTATATTGTCAAGGACGCTTGTGCATACTGAACTTCGAGGAGTTGAATAATGAAATTTTAAAGAAGGCCCACTCCACTCCTTATTCAGTACATCCAGGAGGTACAAAGATGTACTGAGACCTTAAGGCGGTATTTTGGTGAAAAGGAATGAAGAGAGATATAGCTGAGTATGTCGAAAGGTGTTTAGTATGTTAACAAGTGAATGCTGAACACCAGTAACCATCAGGGTTGCTTGAACCCTTAGAAGTTCCAGAGTGGAAGTGGGAGCATGAAACGATGGACTTTGTGGTTGGTTTCCCAAAGTCAACAAGGGATCATGAGGCTATTTGGGTCATTGTGGATAGACTTATCAAATCGGCTCATTTCTTGTTGGTTCGGATGACCTTTTCAAGGGACCAGTTGGTGTAGTTATAGAGATAGTAAGGTTGCATGGTGTGCCCATTTCAATCGCATCAGATAGAGATCCAAGTTTCACATCAAACATCTAAAAAATTTTATACCGAGCTATGGGAACTAAGTTAAAATTTAGTAAGGCTTTCAACCCTCGGATAGATGGGCAATATGAGTGAACGATTCAAACACGAGAAGATATGCTCTGAACTTTTGTCCTCAAGGTTGGGAAACATTGGGAGAAACATTACCCTCGATTGAGTTCGTATACAACAACAACTATCACGCATCTATAGGCAAGGCACCATTGAAGCATTGTGTGGCAGGAAGTGTAGATCGTCGATTATTCGAGATGAGGTCAATGAGAGAAAGATTTTGGGTCCATAGATTATTGAACGGACAATGTAGGCCATTGAGAAAATTCGTTCTAGTATGAAAATTGTCCAGGATAGGCAGGAGAATTATGCTGACGAAAGAAAAAATGAATTGGAATTTTTGGTAGGTGACCAGGTATTCCTGAAGTTGCACCAATGAAACAGGAGTGTTACATGTAACATTTCGCAAATTTCATTTTTTACAATTAATTTAATGGGAAATGCTATGTGTACACAATGTTTCACACCTCCCTCACATGAAGGGGGGCCCACACACAATAAAATATTTGTGTGCCCCCTCTATGTGAGGGAGGTGTGAAACATTGTGTACACCACAAGGTGTACACATAGACTAATTCTAATTTAATTGTTAGTTCAACCCTTCAAATGATTGATATATTATTGATTTTTGAACATGCCATGTGAGTTCATGATTTAAAAGGTTAAGGAAAGTTCGATTATTTGAGAAAAAGGGTTTAAAATCTATAAAGTATAGAGGGCTTAATGAAAGTGAAGATAACTTGAAGGACTAAGAGAATAATATCCTCATATATTTATCTCTAAGAATTTTAACTAATAAGTTTTAACTTTCATTAGTCATCCAGGGACACATGGCACGAAGAAAAGTGGGCTATCAGTCAAGTTTTCAATGTTGACGATTCAACAGAATTTTGAGGTGAAGAAAGTGACCAAGATTCAAAGAAACCTTTGGTTCGAATTCCTACGATCACACCCAGTATTGATGACATTGAGGCAATTCTAGACCACCAGTTTGTGTCTATACAACGAGGTGGTTATCATATGTTCTTGGTCAAGTGGACGCATAAACCGTCATGATATTCAGCTTGTCATCCCATTGATGAAGTTTTATGTGAGGCCCTGGTCTCTTAAATGCTTATTTGCAAAAAAAAAAAACTTGACAGAGTCAAGGTCTTCGGGAGAAATAAAATTGATGCAGTTCTAGCTCAAACAATTGACCTGCACATCTGTACAAGTTTCCACAAGACACATGGCATGACGAGATGAGCAGATGTGGCAAGGGGGACTTTGTCTGTTCTTAGTTTATTTCAGCAAATAAGTCCACGTTCCCTATTTGTCGGAACCAACCTCTATTTTGTGGGTTACAGGTTCCTTCTTTAAAGGTGGCATCAATTTGAATTTTGTTCCAGTTATTTTGCTTTGTTGCTTAGATAGAAGCTTTCGGTTGATTGGATTTCGGCTACTAAGCCTTTGTTGCTAATGAATTGACAGAGACTTGAAAATCCCAATTGACTTTATCTTTGCAGTGATTCCAATCATTGCAATGTTGGGTGGTCTTGAGCTTTAAGAGGTGAGACTTTCTCTCACACTTATAAACTAACCACCAGCTTCTTCCACAACCGATGTGGGATAACCTCAACAATCTCCTCCTCAGACATTAGGCCCTGGATGGGAGCAAACCTATATATCCCTTGGATTGTTGAACTGAGACTTGTTGATAACCTAGGCTCTGATATCAGTGTTTGGTGGTTTTGGGCCTTCTCAACCCTAAAAGCTAATTCAAGAGGTCATGCTTTCCCTCACACTTATAAACTGACCACCAACTCCTTCCACAACTGATGTGGGATAACCTCAACATGGAAGTGATTTCGATATCCCGTCAGAAGTCTAGTGGGGGGCTGAATTTCTAAGAGTTTGTTTCTTGTCAAGTAGTTACACCAAAAAGCAATGAATGAGCATTAGAAAAATGAGAATTCACCGAGGTAATTGAAGAAAGATGCATTTTCTGTTGGTATTTTCATGAAAAAGTCCCACTTTTGCACAAGAATGCAGAAAAAGGTACAACTGCTCATCAAGAATTCAATGGGGCTTCATTTTCTGGAGCAGTGTTTAACTTGTCCACTACCATACTTGGTACTGGAATCATGGCACTGCCTGCCACTATGAATGTTTTAGGACTGATTCTTGATATTGCACTCATAGTTTTTGTTGGAGTTCTCACAGAGTTTTCTGTAGGCATGTTGTTACGGTTCAGTAAGGCCGGTGGTGGGGTTTCCTACGGAGGCAATATGGGGGATGCATTTGGAAATGTTGGAAGGAGAACTTTAGAAGTTCGTGTGGTGACATGATTATACCAATGTTTGATGATTTTTACATTTTTTGTGATGTTAAAAGGTACTGAATTGTGGGTTTTATTATATGAACTGGTTTTTTGCATTTTGTCTTTTAGTTTGTGAAGGTGATGTGATTTCTGGGACTTTGCTCAAATGGGATTCAATACTCTAGTTTGTTGATGGATGTTTTGGAGAACACTGGTGGAATGGGCATTCATTTGTTGTTCTTGTGACAATTCTTGTTGTGCTTGCCCCATTGACATCTTTCAAGCGGATGGGTAAGTAATATATAGGTAGTTATCTTCGATTTCGAACAAGTTTTGCAAATTGAATTTCTTTGGAAACTCTAGGAGATGTTTTGAAATTTTGAAAACAAGTTTCCTAACTTTTAAGTTTTTGATAAAATTCGGAAATTTCAAGAAAACTTTAACAAGATTTTTAACAATTGATCAGGATTTCTTTTGCTAGTTATATTAAGAGAATAGTAAGTGGACATAAAATCTGAAGATGGCACAAAAAATTCCAATGTAAAGATGACCGGAACTCTATTGAATAAAGAAAATGAACTATTCATTTTTGTGCTAATAGAGAAAATGCTGACTAGTAGATATTGGAAACTTACATTCATATGAAAATTGATTATATAAATTTTGAAAGATTAAGGGCATAATCTCTTTATCATTTTCAAACCGTTTTCTGTTTTCGATTTTTTAAAACAGTGAAAACGCGTTCTCTTTCCTATTTTCGAAAAGGCGTTTTTGAAAACTAGTTAAAAATTTATAAAGAAAACCCAAAACAAAAAAATTTGTAGTTTTGAGTGTTTTCAGTTATAATCAAGCCAAAATTTTCAAAACTCTTTTGAGTGCTTTCAAAACAATTTGTCAAAATGTCAAAAAGAACACATTTTCAACAATTTAAAAATGGACACTCAAAACACAAAACTCAAAATGAATTCAAAACTGAAAACACAAAATTGAAATACAAAGAGAACATCCCCTAAATCATTAGGCTGTAAGTTCTAATTATTTCTTCCCATTTTTAATTTTTTTTTATCTAATTAAGTTATGCTTTTTATGCCTGCAGATTCTTTAAGATACATCTATGCTTTAGTAGTTATCTTGGCATTTGATTTCCTTGCCATAACTATACGCGTCACTGTTTTTTTAAAATTGGTGAAAGGTTCTAATGGGATGCCCAGATTGCTTCTCGATATTACTGATATTAATTCAGTCTCGAAACTCTTCACCGTCGTCCCTATTCCTGTGACGTACGTCTACCATTTTAATGGTAAAGCAATCTTACACGCACCTTCATATGTTACTTGGACATTTCCATGAAGAGGTCTGTTTAGTGACTCGTATTTTTAGTCTACTCTTTCGGCAAAATCAATTCTAAATGCTTATGCCATGTTTGACAAAACTTTTTTGAGATTATTAGCTAGTCAAACTTTATTTTTAATCACACATTTCATTGGACCACAACTTTTATCTATCTTTTGAAGTCAACCTACTGGTAAAGATTGCATGTTATTGAGCAAAAAAGCAAATAACTCGGTATTGCATTTGGAAAGCTATTCGTACTTCTTGAAAACTTGTTGAAAGCACTATGCATTTCACTTTGCTAGATATTGCCAAATTCCTGTTAGGGGATGTATGACATCTAAAATAGGTCCTCCGGACTTGGTCATTAACTATGATACACTAACACGGATACGTCTGTTTTACACATTTCGGGCACGCCGATAACGATTTTTCAAAAAAGTATTGACACAACAAGTCGTTGACACGTTGATTAAAATTTTTAAAATTCTTCATTTATATATTATAAATTTTTATTTATACTTATTAGTTTTTCTTGTTGAAATTTTTTAAATACAAGTACTTATTTATTATTTAATAATATGTTTGAGTTAAAAATAATAGAATATTTATAATAAACAAAGAAAAATGACTATGGTAGAGTGTTTGAGGATTTGTCAGTATCCGATAATGACACGTATTGGACACAGACACGCTGTCTTAATTGAAATATCCAAAGCTCATTAATTAGATCGACCATGTTATTGCTAATTCCTCGAATTTTGCTTTAGGAGGCATTATGATTTTTCTTCATTTTTTGTACTTCTCTTTTGTTTGAGCTTTTGCCTATGTTTTTTAACTATTGCATATGTCTCCCTCGAGCTCACTTTCTTCAAACGCAAGATCATCATACAATGCAATATTTCTTTATCTAGTTTAACTACAAGAGAAATTTGCATTACTAACTGCAGTACACAATATCAATAATAAGCTTGAAGAGTCTTCCTGGATAAGATCTGTTGTGCAGACTTCATTAGCTCTGTGCTCAATCGTTTATCTATGACAAGCTCCTTTGGATTCCTTTTGTTTGGAGATTGAATCTTGATGATTTTTTAGCCAACTTCAACTAAAAACTTTGGCATCCCATATAACTTTCTAGTAAATGATACAGTTCGCGTCAGCTACGTTGTTCACCCCATGCTCGTTTTCCCAATTATATTATTTCCAATGCGCCTGAATTTGGATAGCTTGCCCTTCCCGTCTTTCGTGCATTTGGTTATCAGTAATTGTCAATTTGCATTGATCACCATGGGCTTCTTTCTGTTGTTTTCTTAGGTGAAAATTTTATTCCCAACATTTGGGTTGCTCGTTTTCCCTATTCCTTTTTATTGCTATCTACTTCAGTAATTTTATACAATTCTATTTTTCGCTAAAACACCAAACATAGACAAGGCTCACTAGTTTGTGTCGATGTGATAAACAACATTTTAATCACTTTTATACACAGAGAAACATCTCTCTTCCAGCACCTCATTTTTGCTTTCTTTGTTTTAGGGATGCTCATTGAATAGCTACAAAGAAAGACAAGTTCTTGGCTATTTTCATGATACGTCTAGCAGTATTTGCAAATTTGGTGGCTATATACAGCATTGCCTACACAATATTCAAGAGAAATGAATCTTGGTTTCCCTTGAGATCTGCCATTAAGAGATCATCAAGAAGTCTCGACTCTCTCCTCTAAGAGAAATGAATGAAATCTCGGTTGATATTGGTCTATTTCATCTCAAAAGGCACCCCATTACAGCAAAGGCTTCCGTGACTCATATATTATTAGGTCTTTGGCAATTTATGTGCACGATTACTGGTGTCATTGTATGAGTAAAAAGTATGATTGAATGTGTAAATTCCTCAATACATGTAAAATTGGTACTCACCCAAGATCTTGCTACAACTTGTGACATTTAGTCCATGTTCATTTGTCAAGTGCTCTGTATAAAACACTCAATTAGATCACAAGGGACTTAAATCTGTGCCTTTTCCCTGAAAGTTCTCATTTTAGATAAATTGACGGTGGAAAAAGCCAGGAGGTAGCAAGTTTGTGTGACTGAAAGATACCATTTGGCTTTTTAAATTCACAAGGCAGAATTGCTCAGGATAATAAACCATGACAAGAGAGTATGCAATGATCAATTTACTAGCCATTAAATGTAATTAGTAGACAAGAAATCATTTCACTAAGAGAGTATGCAATGATCAATTTACTAGCCATTAAATGTAATTAGCAGACAAGAAATCATTTCACTTCTATATATTAAAACAACTGCTTTTTTATTAATACAAAGTTTTTGACAAAAAAATAGCACCTAAAGAATTTCTCCGGAACTACGTGTATTTCTTTATGTATTATGTAAAGCTGAGTCGAGCCAACTGGGAAAATACCAGTGTCAAGTTAGCAACCAATTCGGCCCTCTCTCCAGTGAGTTTCCAGTTCTTTAAAACCAACAACCCTTTGGCATCAATTATGCATCTGGGCTGGTATCAAAAGAAGCATATACATAAATCTATGTTATACACTGCAGTCTCTATTTTACACCCACATAATGTTTATATCAATAGCGGGGCATTTGCATGATTGCTTGTTTAGCCATTAAAGCAACTATTGCACCTTTATCTGGTCCCAAAAGCTGGAATCCACAACATTTGGTCATCTCTGTCAAGACATTGAGGAAGAATTTCAATTGTCCCCAAAACCTTATTGTATGCATCTTTTATATGTACGAAAGAAAACCCCGTGATCAAGTGCAGCCAATTACGGGTGTGCTCTTCTTGCTCTTTTGTTGGCAGTCTGCTAAAAGCTTAAAAAACCAAAGATATTCAGAGATGCCATGACCAGGCCATTTAGAAGTAATAATTCCTTGAAAGGTGGGCAATATCTGTTCATTTAGTTGAAAAAATAGGAGACTCCAGAACTTCTCTCATGTCAAAGTCTCCGCATTTTGGCAATGGAGGAAAATTGAACTTTGGGAAGGACTGCTAAAAACTTTCCAACAGCTGTAGAAAAGAAGCAATAGTTATGTAAACTTATTACCGAATAGATATCAAACTAACCTTGAACAGAATTAATTTTAACCAGAAGGCCACTAACAATTCATAGTAAGTAAATACAAGTAAAATCGACGTTTCCAACTTTTAAAAAAGAACAATTCAAGTAGATATAATTTCATTTAAAGATAGCAATTTCATATTGCTGTCTTAAATCCTATTAAAACATAAAAGCATGGGGGGATGGAAAAACATCACAAGGTATATTCAAAGCAAAATAAGGAAGTCACAGTAGCTAAAATTATTCAGACAACTAATATACAAAGAAACTGATCAGGATTTAACAAAGTAACACTACAATCCTCCACCAAATCTTTTCTTCCCCTCAAATGAGAATGATGGTGAATAATAAAATCGCCACCGTCAGTCAAATCTTTCCTAATTTGGGGGAATCAAGGGAAACAGCCTCCATTTCTTTGATAATTAAGATGAAAGTGTTGGTAGATGACACTAATACTTTAGGCAAGGCAGAACTCATGAAACACTTAAAAGTGAGGGTCCAAGTGTACTTACTTAATCATGAAGAGGACAGCGATTATGACGTTACTCAAATGAATAATTCTTGTGCGTTAAGTCGGAGCACCTATGGTGTTGTGTGATTGACAAAAAAGTTTCAAAAAAAAAAAAAAAAAAGAAGGAAAGAATTCCATATAGCACCTGAAATAACAACCATGTTACATGGAACCAAAAGATGTGTTAAGAATTGAGGTTCCATCTTAAAATGTTAATTTTATTAAGATGAGTTCAATCCTTTATAAATTGGTTTATTTTTACATCTTTATTCGATATGGAATTCTATCCCTTAACAAGTTGGACTAGTAAGAGCATCTCCAAAACCTCTTTATTTTTAATGAGTATCAATCATGTATATTTTTTATAAAATTCAGAGTAAATTATTTTACACAATCTAACAACACTCTTTGTTTTGGCTCCTCGTTTTACTTTTTCAATAAACATTTATCGATTTTCGCTCATCTTTTATTTCCTATAATTTTTTACAACCAAGTGAGGTGCATGGCAAAAATATTCGAAGTATGCATAAGCAAAGAAGTATACTATCGTAGCTTGCAATTCATTAAATGCAATTAATATAAAACACAAATAAAGAGTGGATTTGGCTCTCTACATGCAATTAATATAAAATACAAATAAATAGTGGCTTGGCACTCCAAATGTTGAGAGATCAAACCCACTCTTTATTTAGCCCCTATTTGACAACCATTATTTGAAACCTCTTTTTTCTACATACTTATTTTCAACTACACATTCACACAATAAAATATTATGCTCGTAAACCCAAAAACTTTGTCCTATTTTTTAACCAAGCATTCTCCTTTAAAACATTGTTTTTCCCTGTTTATTGATCTCATTATGCAAGTTATGAAGATGTTGTGCAAATGTTTCAGCTGACATAGACAATCTAGCATGTGGGGACATTGGGATGAGATCTAAAGGCTTCCTAGGCTTAAAACCATGAACAACTTCAAATGGACTCACACCTAACGACCAATTCATGAAACTGTTGTATGTAATTTGAGCTGTAGGAAGAATTAAATCCCAAATTCTAATATTTTCTTGGACCAGACACCTTAGTAAATTACCAAGACTACAATTAACCACTTCCGTATGCCCTTCGGTCTGTTACATCGGGATGAGATCTAAAGGCTTCCTAGGCTAAAACCCATGAACAACTTCAAATGGACTCCTACCTAACGACCGATTCATGGAACTGTTATATGCAATTTGGGCTGTAGGAAGAATTAAATCCCAATTTCTAAGAATTTCTTGGACCAGAAACCTTAATAAATTACTAAGACTATGGTTAACCACTTTTGTTTGACCATCAGTCTGCGGGTGATAGGCAATAGAAAATTTCAACTTTGTATCAACCTTGTGCCACAGTGTTCTCCAAAAGTGACTAGTGAACCGAACATCCCTATCTGACACAATGGTTTTGGGGAGGTCACACAATTTAACAATTTCATTAAAGTACACTGTGGCAACTCGAAATGCATCTGAGGTTTTGGTACAAGGGATAAAATGAGCAATTTTAGAGAAACGATCTCACTATCACAAAAATAGAATCATGTTTCTTTGGGGTATGTGGAAGCCCTAACACAAAAATTAGAATAACAGCAACATAAAAATTTAAATGGCGCAATTTTAAGACGAAACAGTAATATAAACTAAACACAAAGAAATAGTAGTTAAGTAACTGAGCGCTAAGTAATTGATCACCAAAGACAAAGAAACAGTAGCTCTCGTTTTGTTCTTCGAAGGAATTGAACCGATCTATAGGTCAAAGAGAGGTACATGCAAAATGTTTATAAAAATATTCTCCCTTTTTTTTCACACTTTTTTTCCCTTTTTTTTTTCACTTTTTTTAAGAACTAAAAGCAAATTACAAAAATATGGGCCAAAGTACCAATAAAAAGTACCCACTAGTCGGAACAATAGGCCACAATGAGGCCCCAAAATTATTAAATCGGACTCCTTTCTTTTTTAGCTAGAGCTAATTACACTAGCCCAAACCGAGGCCCAAACTGCATCCCCAATACCTAATCAAAATACACTAAAATAGAGGCCAAAATTGAGGCCCAATACAAAACCAATTACCCTAAATATTAAATATTAAAATGGAGGCCCATTATACAAGCGATTACCCAAACAAGTCACACCAAATACGGGTTTCCGACACAGGAACTAGTCTACTTGTAGAGGTGTCAAGACAGACGGGCCGGCCATGACCCGTGAAAACTGGGACCGCGGGCCGACCCGTGACCCGTGCGGGCGGTTCACGGGCCAAGGAGGTGTAACCCGCGGGCTTCGCGGGTTGCACCCCCACGGGCCGCGG